GTGGTCCTCCACCAACTCTTCCACATCCTCCAAACTCACATCCAACCCCATGGAAGTCCCCAGTGCCACAATGGATTTAACAACTGACATAGGCTCATCAGGGTCAGCCCCAAACCCTTAAAAATCCCTCTTGTGGACACAATCGGCCACAATTTTCCAAGCAGAGTTCAAAGTCCTGGTAGTCGCTCCCTCCCAAGCTTCCTATAAGGCTTACGCAATGGAGAATGCTGAAATGTTCTTTCCAAAAATCTCGTAGGGTCAAGCGAGTGTCTGAAGTCACATTCAAGCACCTTTCAAACATTGCTTTGGTGTAGAGTTTTTTTTAAAATTGCAATGACCTCTGGTCCATGGGCTGGAGGAGAGGAGTGGTATTCGGGGGCAAGAACTTTACTGCGATGAACCCAACTCCTTCAGAATTTGGTCATCCAAAATTTGGAGGACGAGCAGGTGCATTGTCCATTACTAGGAGGCACTTGAGATCCAATTTCTTTTCCAGGAGGTAATTCTTCACACTAGAGCCAAACACTTCATTGAACCACTCTACAAAAATTTCCGTCGTGACCCATGCCTTACTATTAGATTTCCAAAACACACACAATTTACTCTTCATAACATTGTTTTTTTCCCGAGCACACTGGGGTTTTCAGAATGGTACATAGTAAATTTCTTCACTTTGGAAATCCCCACTAGCATTAGCACAGAACATTTTGCTCAGCCTGTCTTTCATAGGTTTGCGTCCTGGCATTGCCTTTTCCTCTTGTGTAATGAAGGTCCTCTTTGGCATTTTCTTCCAAAAGAGGCCTGTTTCGTCACAATTGAACACTTGTTCAGGTTTCAGTCCTTCAGCCTCTATGTACTCCTGGAATTCATGCACATATTTTTCAGCCACCTTGTGGTCCGAACTGGCAGCCTCACCATGCCTTACCACACTGTATGCCAGTACGGTTCTTAAATCTCTCAAACCAGCCTTTGCTGGCCTTAAATTCACTCACATCATCACTATTTGCAGGCAATTTCTTTACCAAATCATCATGCAACTGCCTAGCTTTTTCACAAATAAGCAACGTCATAAGACTGTCTCCTGCTAATTGTTTCTCATTTATCCACACCAATAATAGCTTTTCAACATCTTCGAGTACTGGTGATCTCATTTTTGTCAGCATATTTACCCCCTTTGCAACAACAGCGTCCTTGATTTCATTTTTCTTGGCTATGATGGAAGATATGGTTGTACGGGATTTATTATACATCCTGGCCACTTCGCCCAAACGTACGCCACTATCATATTGTTCAATGACGTTTTTCTTAAATTCACTCGTATTTCTCACCTTCTTTACCAAAGGCTTGGCACTAGGAGCTTTCTTTGGAGCCATGGTAGCTTATATAGCACTTAAATAACTTGCAAGCACTAAAATAAATGAAATATTATGAAATATTTCGCTGGAGCACGTGAGGGGACTGTCGCTCACTGGTAAACAATGGCACACTGGCTGGGAAGGAAAGACCGAGGCGGCTCGAGGCCGCTCAGACCGTGAGTACGCGTCCGGGACGAAGGACTATTAGTGAGTTACCGGACCATTTCCGAGCCAATATTTTGACGAAAAAACAGGACTATTTCCGAAATGGACGACTTTCAGGCCGGATGATTATTGAGGGACCACTGTACTACAGTATACAAAGCTGCTTGTTATGCAGAGCATTTTGGGCAAATTAGGTCAGTTTTGTCCCAGGATGCGACCCAGGTACCCATTTTGAACTGATGGATGAACAGGGACACCAGGTGTCTTATGGAAACTTTTTTTTTTTTTTACGAGTCAGCCGTCTCCCACCGAGGCAGGGTGACCCAAAAAGAAAGAAAATCCCCAAAAACAAAATACTTTAATCATCATTCAACACTTTCCCCTCACTCACACATAATCACTGTTTTTGCAGAGGGGCTCAGGATACAACAGTTTAGAAGCATATACATATAAAGATACACAACATATCCCTCCAAACTGCTAATATCTCAAACCCTTCCTTTAGAGTGCAGGCATTGTACTTTTGTACTACTTGCCATTTCCAGGACTCGAGTCGGGCTATATAAAAATAACCGGTTTCCCTGAATCCCTTCACTAAATATTACCCTGCTCACACTCCAACAGATCGTCAGGTCCCAAATTCCATGTGTCTCCATTCACTCCTATCGAACACACTCGTGCACGCCTGCTGGAAGTCCAAGCCTCTCGCCCACAAAACCTCCCTTACCCCTTCCTTCCAACCTTTTCGAGGACGACCCCTACCTTGCCTTCCTTCACCTGCAGATTTATACGCCCTCCATGTCATTCTACTTAGATCCATTCTCTCTAAATGACCAAACCACCTCAACAACCCCTCTTCAGCCCTCTGACTAATACTTTTATTAACTCCACACCTTCTCCTAATTTCCACTCCGAATTTTCTGCATAATACTTACACCACACATTGACCTTAGACAGGACATCTCCACTGCTTCCAACCGCCTCTTCGCTGCTGCATTCACAACCCAAGCTTCACACCCATATAAGAGAGTTGATATTACTATACTTTCATACATTCCCTTCTTTGCCTCCATAGATAACGTTTTTTGTCTCCACATATACCTCAACGCACCACTCGCCATTTTTCCCTGATCAATTCTATGATTAACCTCATCCTTCATAAATCCATCTGCCGACACGTCAGCTCCCAAGTGTATCTGAAAACATTCACTTCCATACTACTCCTCTGCACTTTGATATCCAATTTTTCTTTATCTAAATCATTTGATACCCTCATCACCTTATTCTTTTCTGTGTTCACTTTCAACTTTCTACCTTTACACACACCCAAATCCATCCACTAACCTTTGCAATTTTTCTTTAGAATCTCCCATAAGCAACTGTGTCAATTCCCATTTTGTATTTGATTCCCCATAATTTAATCCCACCCCTCTCCCAAACACCCTAGCATTTACTTCTTTTACAACCCCATCTATAAATATATTAAACAACCATGGTGACATTACACATCCCTGTCTAAGACCTACTTTTACTGGGAAGTAGTCTCCCTCTCTTCTACACACCCTAACCTGAGCCTCACTATCCTCATAAAAACTCTTTACAACATTTAGTAACTTACCACCTATTCCATATACTTGCAACATCTGCCACATTGCTCCTCTATCCACTCTATCATATGCCTTTTCTAAATCCATAAATGCAATAAAAACTTCCCTACCTTTATTTAAACACTGTTCACATATGCTTCAGTGTAAACACTTGATCTACACATCCCCTACCCACTCTGAAACCTCCTTGCTTATCTGCAATCCTAAATCCTGTCTTGCCTCTAATTCTTTTAATTATAACCCTACTGTACACTTTTCCTGGTATTCTCGGTAAACTTGTTCCTCTATAAATTTTACAATCTCATTTGTCCCCCTTCCTTTTATATAAAGGGACTATACATGCTCTCTGCCAATCCCTAGGTACCTTCTCCTCTTTCATACTTTTATTAAACAAAAATACCAACCACTCCAACACCATATCCCCCCTGCTTTTAACATTTCTGTTATGATCCCGTGAGTTCCAGCTGCTTTACCCCCTTTCATTCTACGTAATGCCTCGCGCACCTCCCCCACACTCGCATCCTGTTCTTCACTCCTAAATGATGGTATACCTCCTTGGCCAGTGTATGAAATTACCACATCCCTTTCTTCGTCGACATTTAAAAAATGGAAACATGTCCCTAATATTTTCCAACCATACCAGAGGAGATTTGAACTTCGGACCTCAGTGTGTGAGCCGAGTGCACTAGCGATCAAGCTACAGGACACCAAACACTGACATAGGCAGCTTATGGCCCAGGGAACATTAAACGCACAGGTCCTGGATGTGGACGCTCTTCTGTTTACTGGACAAACGCTGGAATCGTCAGACTTGGTCCATTAGTTCAAGACTGCTGAACACTGTCATTAATGAACAAAATTGAAAACCAATGTGCTTTTCCATTTTGTTGGTGTTTCTCCAGCCAATTTTTTGTGCATTTTCCAAAATCTGTTAAATCAGGTTCCTTTTAAACTAATTTTACTGTATTGTTTTAGTTCTGTATACAGCTAGCCCTCCACTCGAGTTCCACTTTTGCGAGTTCAACTTTTACGAGCTTCGAACATTCGCAAATGCCCAGCCACCCAATCATATTTACCAAACAAATACGGGGAAAAAAGTAAGGTAAAATTCTTCCCGCCACTAGCTCTGACTCTAGCTATGTCGGCAGTGATGCTGGCAGTGAAGTTAGAATCCACACACTAGACTTGGCATGCCATGCAGTTACTCTCCATAGAATCACCTCCATTCAACTGTCATCAGTAACTATCACCATCATCATCATCATCACGAGTTGTCAGAGTTTGTCTACCTAACCTTAAGAGTGCCGAGTGTTTTGTTTCATTATTTATTAAACTATAACATGTATATACAATATTTTATGATGTTTTCATGTGTTTTATGATTGTTAGTGGTTCAGTGGGTTAAGGAAGCAGTATTGTTAGGCAAAGTAAATGCTATTATGTTTCCCTACCATATATTTGCACATCATAACTTTCGCGAACACTTCAATACAGTATTATTACACTTCCCTACATCACATTTGTGCACCAAACATTTGCGAGTTTTCGAGATTCGCGAGGTTCTTGTTCCCCTAACCCTTGCGAATTTGGAGGGCCTCCTATAATTTTTTTTTTTTTCTCCATCCCTAGTCATACTTAGCAACATTTTCTTCATTAAAATCTACCTTTACAGTAGTTGTCATTGATGCCTTTTACTTATGGGTTATTAGCGTGTCATGCAGTCCCTTGAATTTCAACATTACAATATAGCATGTGTATTTTGTATTTACAGTATAGCATGTGTATTTTCTATCATCACTATTGCTATTCCTTCTTTCTTTGAGTGACCCCTTTTTTCACTCTAATAGCATTGAATCTTATGATTATTTCACAGGGCGTTTGTAGGCAACCTTCTAAGAATGGGACGTGAGCGAGGGATGAAAATGCAGCCGCCAGTAGAACTGCTCGAATTCCAGAATTCCCACGATGTCGATCCAGAGACACTCTTTAAACAGCTCAAAGGAAAACATAAAAATATTCAGATGATAATGGTAGTGTTACCAAAATCCAAAGAACTGTATGGTACGTATGTATTATGCAATTTAAAAAAAGCAAAGGTAGAGATTAATAGGACATTACACCTAATTATCTGAGGATGATTGGGTGTAATATGGAAATTTAGAATTTTATAATACTTTCAGAAAACAAATTTTATTTTTGTTTAATATAAAAAAATGTAGTTTACATGTTACAAAATATTGTTACACAGAAAAGTCACTAGCATGCATATGGATTTCAGACACATTCTAATGCATGCATACACTACTTAAAACTAGGCGGGTATTTAGTGGTACAATTTTATGCATGCATTATTACAAAAGAGATAGTAAAAATTTGTGTTAATGTACTTTAACCACTTGAAGGTCTGTGCTATTGTTCTATGCCATGAGCTCATCTTGCTCAGATAAGCTGTGAGAGGTAAATTTGGGCCTAGATATGAGGGAATGGGTCTGTGGTAAGTGTGCACCATATAAAAAAACATCCTGCTGTATGCAGTGCATATGAGAAAAAATTGCTACTTTGTTTTTGGTTTAAAACGGCAACTTTGCGGTGTATTTTTGTGGTTGTATTCACGGTTTCTTGGTCTCACTTGATAAAATGGAAGATATCTTGCAGAAATACAGATGATTTTGATTGGTTTTTGGCTGAAAATACCTTGAAATTGAGCTCAAAGTAGGAGAAATGTTAATTTGTTGCCAACGTTCAAGAGTAAACAAAAGACGTCACACATCTAATACACTTCAGCTGGTGGGTCTAGTATATGTTCACGAATGTGAAGATATTATTTATACAGTTATTACAATATTGCATAAGTGTCTTCTATTTTTTGGTGTGAATAAAAATTCATTGTTTAAAAAATAAACAAATCAAATCACACTTCAATACACATCAACCAGTGGGTCTAATATACATTCAGTATGTTTACAATATTGCATAACAGTAAATTTTCTATTTCTCTGTTTTTTGGTGTGAATAAAAATTCATTGTGAATAAAAAAAAATGAAATTAATATGTAAAGCCTAGGAACATAACTAATGAACATAGGAAATGTTTTTAGTTCCAGGAATGCCTGCATTGTTTATTCTAGACCCTATTTTGAAATTTGTGTGAAATTGGCCAAATTGCCAATTTCTGATCACTTTATTGGGTAATTGAAATAGTTGATTGGGTGATTGCTGGTGTTTAATCGATAAAATGGAATTCATACTAGCGAAATAGCTAATAATTTGGTCAACTGGAACAACGTAATTGGTCTAACATAGAACTTGGCAAAATTCGCAATAGCGTAATTTCGTCACTTCTCCAGCAAATTTCGTACTTTGTTTTATTGCCTTGAGAAAAAAAAATTCTACCTTTTCATGAGAAATTTTTTTTTTTTTTTTTTTTTTTTTTTAATTCTTGGACCCTGTGAACAAGTTTCAGATCAGAGGCCTGGACCCTAAAAGGGTTGAACTGATCATGCGTTGATTGGAATTTCTTAAATACTTTCTAACTGGCTCTGATTTCAGGCTATGAAACATTTATAAGAGATGGTAAAGAAACAAGGAGTTAGACGAGTTGGTTGACATAAGGAAGTAGGAACACTGCAGTAGGCCTACTGGCCCATGTGAGGCAGGTCCAATTCTCCTACCAGCTTAAACCAACACCGTAACCTAGTCTGGTCAGGTCACATTCACTTAAAGAAGGAGCACGGCTAGTAGCACAAGCTAGTCGGGTCCAACTCGCACCCACTCGTGTACAGTGGACCCTCGCCTAACGATGGCATCACATAACATTAAATCCGCCTAGCGATACATTTTAATGCAAAAATTTTGCCTTACCTAGCGCTAAAAAAAACTCAACGCGATTTGTCCGAGATGCGTCCATGTGCGGCCTGAGCCAGCCTCACTTGTTCCGCCGGTGGCATTCTTTACAACCCAGCCTCCACGGTCACATCCAAGCATACAATCGAAGCATTTCATATTATTACAACGTTTTTAGTGATTTCACCTGCAAAATAAGTGACCATGGGCCCCAAGAAAGCTTCTAGTGCCAACCCTACAGGAATAAGGGTGAGAATTACTATAGATATGAAGAAAGAGATCATTGCCGAGTATGAAAGTGGAGTGTGTGTCTCCGAGCTGGCCAGGTTGTACACAAAACCCCAATCAACCACCGCTACAATTGTGGCCAAGAAAACGACAATTAAGGAAGCTGTTCTTGCCAAAGGTGCAACTTTGTTTTTGAAACAGAGATCACAAGATGTTGAGAGACTTGTTATTGGTGTGGATAAACGAAAAACAGATAACAGGAGATAAATTCTCTCGAGCAATCATAAGTGAAAAGGCTAGGAAGTTGCATGACGATTTAATTAGAAAAATGCCTGCAACTAGTGATGAGTGAATTTAAGGCCAGCAAAGGTTGGTTTGAGAGATTTAAGAAGCGTAGTGGCATACATAGTGTAGAAAGCATGGTGAGGCTGCCAGTTCGGACCACAAAGCAGCTGAAAAATATGTGCATGAATTCAAGGAGTACATACAGTGAAGGACTGAAACCTGAACAAGTGTTTGTGACGAAACAGGCCTGTTTTGGAAGAAAATGCCAAGCAGGACCTACATTACTCAGGAGGAAAAGGCACTCCCAGGATGTAAGCCTATGAAAGACAGGCTTACTCTCTTAATGTGTGCCAATGTTAGTGGTGATTGCAAAGTGAAGCCTTTATTGGTGTATCACTCTGAAGCTCCCAGAGCGTTTAGGCAAAAGAATATCCTCAAGGCTAATTTGTGTGTGCTGTGGAGGGCAAACAGTAAGGCATGGGTCACTAGGGACTTCTACTATGACTGGTTACACCATGCATTTGCCCCCAGTGTGAAAAATTACCTAATTGAAAAGAAATTAGACCTTAAGTGCCTCCTGGTGTTAGACTATGCCCCTGGTCATCCTACAGACTTGGCAGAGCGACTTTGTGGGGACATGAGCTTCATTAAGGTCAAGTTTTTGCTTCCTAATACCCCTCCTCTCCTGCAGCCCATGGACCAGCAGGTCATTGCAAACTTCAAAAAACTGTACACAAAAGCTCTGTTTGAAAGGTGCTTTGTAGTGACCTCAGAAACTCAATTGACTTGAATAGTTTTGGAGAGATCACTTAAATATTCTCAATTGTGTAAACATTATAGGTAAGGCTTGGGAGGGAGTGACTAAGAGAACATTGAACTCTGCTTGGAAGAAACTGTGGCCAGAATGTGTAGACAAAAGGGATTTTGAAGGATTTGAGGCTAACCCTGAGAAGCGTATGCGAGTTGAGGAATCAATTGTGGCATTGGGGAAGTCCTTGGGGTTGGAGGTTAGTGGGGAGGATGTGGAAGAGTTGGTGGAGGAGGACAATGAAAAACTAACCACTGATGAGCTGCTAGATCATCTTTAACAGCAAGAGGCCAGACCTGAGGAAGCTGCTTCAGAGGAGGGGAGAGAGAAATTGAAGAAGTTGCCTACTTCAAAGATTAAGGAAATATGTGCAGGGTGGCTTGAAGTGCAAACCTTTTTTGATGAAAACCACCCTCAGACAGCTTTTGCAAGCCGTGCTGGTGACTATTACACTGACAATGTTGTGAAACACTTTAGGAAAGTCATAAAGGAACGAGAGGTACAGACCTCTATGGACAGGTATGTTGTGCGACAAAAGTCCAGTGACTTTGAAGCTGGTCCTAGTGGCATTAAAAGAAGGGAAGTAACCCCGGAAAAGGACTTGACCCCTCAAGTCCTAATGGAAGGTGATTTCCCTTTTAAACACTAATACCATCAACACTCTCCCCTCCTCCCATCCCATCAATCATCACCAGATCTTCAATAAAGGTAAGTGTCATGTAACTGTGCATGTCTTCTTCAGTTTGTGTATTAAAATTATTATTTCATGTGGTACTTTTGGGTGTCTTGCACGGATTAATTTGATTTCCATTATTTCTTATGGGTAAAATTTATTCGCGTAACGATAATTTTGCCTAACACTGAGCTCTCAAGAACGGATTAATAGCGTTATGCAAGGGTCCACTGTATTTATCTAACCTACTTTTAAAACTACATGTCTTAGCTTCTATGACAGTACTCAGGATTTTGTTCTACTCATCCACAACTCGATTACCAAACCAGTGCTTTCCTATATCCTTCCTGAATATGAATTTTTCCAACTTATGAATATGGGGGATACATATTTGCTAATTTTACTATAAAAAAAAAACCTTAAGACATCTATAACAATCGGTGCCATTTACCGGATACCCCACACAAACATCCCAAATTTCAGTGACAATCTAAAGGCACTAGTAACAGACAAATGAACAAGCACCACCTTCTCTTAGCTGGAGACTTCAATATCAACCTTGGCCTACCAGATCAGCCTGTAACTGATTTCATCAACAATATGAACAACACACTTCTCATACCAACAATAACTAAACCAACCAGGATGACTAAGACAAGTGCAGCCATAATAGACCACATATGGACCAAATATACTAGCCCCCCTTAAATCAGGGATAATCACAGACAGCACTACAGACCACTACCCAACCTTCCTCTTAACAAACATTAGTAAGCCACCACTCGAATACAACAAAGTTTCACTTAGACTCCATGACAAGGCATTTCACAGCAGACCTAGAGACTGTTCACTGGCCTACAGAATTCTCCAATGCCACTGGTATTGACGATTGGACAGACATTTTTCTTAACAAAACACTTAGACTATACAACAAACATTGTCCTATAAAAACGAAACAGATCACGAATAAACAGCTCGGTTGCGCATGGTTAACCAGCAGCATTCTGAAATCCATTGATAAGAAACACCAATGTGAAAAGCAATATAGACAGGGCTTGATACACAAAGATATTCTTAAACACTATTCATCAGTTCTCACCAAATTAATAAAGAAAGCCAAACAACTGTACTACTCCAGCAGATTCACTGACACAAGAGGAGATTAAAAAAATGCCTGGAAAACACTTTCCCAGATTCTGGGGATCCACAAACTGAAAAAAAAAAA